GGTGGAATCTGGCCTTGGGACACTGCAATTTAGGGAAACTTGAAAGTGAATTGATTCTTCTGTATAATTTCATGTTCATAAGCACCTATGCTCATTTAGCAGCCAGACGTAGGTAAGCTGAGCTCCTGTTAGCAACACTCATTATCAGAATAGGGAGCTTCCAGATGCTCTGTGTTAAGAACCCCATAGTAGGGGGTGCCTGGGTGGGCACCAGCCCCCGCCTTCACCACGCCAGCATCCTGCGGGCCTTGCTGAGGAAGAAGATGGTGGCCATGGTGCTAAGGAGGGTGAGGACAATGACTAGGCGGGGACAGGCCCTGCTGCTGAGCACTTAGCAGGTGCCAGAAGCTGAGCACTTACCTCACTAAGCCCTCAGAGGTGCTGCCATTATAGTCCCCACCTTGCAGACGAGGAGCCCGAGTTCAGAGAGGCACAGGGACTTGCCTAAGACCACACAGCCCGCTGATGGCTGAGCCGGGCCCTGGCCCCGGAGCCCATGCTCTGCTGCCCAGGGAGGCCTGAGGGAGGCCCACCCTCCCTGCCTGGGGACCCGGCAGCCTCACGTGCCGCATGCCGCGTGCCTGCCCCTCCACACACAGCCGTCTCCCTCCCCCAGGGCGGCGCTGTGAGCTCTGTGATGACGGCTACTTTGGGGACCCTCTGGGGCTCTCTGGGGCTCCCCAGCCCTGCCGGCGGTGCCAGTGCAGTGGGAACGTGGACCCCAACGCCGTGGGCAACTGCGACCCCCTGTCTGGCCACTGCCTGCGTTGCCTGCACCACACGACAGGTGCCCACTGTGAACGCTGTCAGGACGGCTTCTACGGGAGCTCCCTGGCCCCTCGGCCTGCAGACAGATGCACGCGTGAGCACCCACCTCCCGCCCAGTGGGTGGGGCAGGGTGGGGGCTTCTCTCCACCAGACCCAGCCCGCAACTTGGGGGGCTGTGCAACCTCAGGCAGATTGCTCACCTTCTCTGTCCCTTTTTCTGGAAGGTCTAGGAGTTTGCTCTCGTCCAGGGTCAAGGTCTCTCTCAGCCTCAGTCTAATCAATGCCGATCCTGTGATTTTTTTTTTTTTTTTTTTTTGCCTTGATAATTTAGCGCTTACCTCAAGCCCCACAGTTAGCGCCTATGACTGTCCTCCGTGGTGAACAGCACCCATCACGTTTGTGCTGCCCCTGGGCTTCCATCAGGCTATTCCTCTCCCCCGCCTGGGTTAGCACTCAGCCCCCTGTCCCTGCTCAGAGGGCCACGGCGTGCCTCGGCCCATGGAAGGCCTCCAGAAGTGTTGGAGGGAGAAGCCCAGCATTTCCCCAAACTTACTTGCTCCAGAGCCCTTTCATCATGTGAGGAAGCCGGCCTCTCGTTCTCTGGAGCCCAGGAGAGCAGGGTCAAGGGACCCAAAACAGTGGGCACCCGGGTCCACCCGTGACTCCCTGGCCTGGTCTCTGGCGTTCTCCCCAGCTGGCTGGGGTTCAGGGCAGGTTCAGAAGAACCATCTACAGCCATGAGGATTCTAGGCTGTCTCTCTGAGGACATAGGAAATGGGGTGAGAGTTGAGCCCGGCCCTAGAGCCTTTTTCTGGAAAAGGCTTAGGAGTCTGTGTTGAATGTGAGGCATCTCCATGGGCTCCCCATCTTCTCCTGGACCCCCAAAGGTTGAGTCGATGATCTGTGTGATTCTCCAACACCATTTCTGCTTCCATTCCCAGCCTGCAGCTGCCACCCCGAGGGCTCAATCAGTGAGCAGAGAGCCTGCCACCCGGAGACCGGCCAGTGCCCCTGCCTGCCTCATGTGATGGGACGGGACTGTGGCCGCTGCAGCCCTGGCTTCTACGACCTCCAGCCCGGGAGGGGCTGCCAGAGGTGGGTGGGGTGAGGCTGCGGGTGCCCTTCCCCTGGGTGTGTCTCCAGGATGGAAGAAGTCCCGGGGAGCCCCCAGAGGGGGGCCTGGCTTAGAGTGTGTCATCCCAGGCCCACTGCCAGGGACACTGTGCCCTGCCCCAAAGGGGGACAAAGGGATGGTCCCTTGAGGGGTCCGACTCGTGGCCCTGCCAGCCCAGATGCAGGCCAAGAGCAACCCTGAGGGACGTCCGGGTGAGCAGAGGGCCGGTTTGGTCTCTGATTCCCCGCTCAGTGACGCTGAAGCTCTGTGGCCTTTTTGGCCAGAGCAGCACCTTAGAAAGTGTCTTTAGGGAGCAGTGGAGGACCCCAGGGAAATGCCCAGTGCAGCAAACAGGCTTCTTCCTGGCAAGACTCCTCAGTGCCTTTAATATGCTAATTGCATTGTGACTTTTCAACAGAGGGGCATAATCTGCAAGATTTGTAAGTCCCCATAGCCTTTTTTGGGGGGTGGGGGTAGCATTTTTGTGAGACGGTGCTTCCCAGGACACAGCTCGGGGAAAGCCGTTGGACGTGTAGCTATGTGGCGATGGGGCCTCGTGGGTGGAGAGTGTGATCTGGAGGCCCCTCATGGGCTGCGGCCAGCCGAGGCTGGGTGGGGAGCGGCTCAGAGCTTGTCTCCGACCTGGGTTCCTTCCGCATCCTAGCTGCAAGTGTCACCCGCTGGGCTCCCAGGAGGACCGGTGCCACCCCGAGACTGGGCAGTGCCCCTGTCGCCCCGGGGTTGAGGGCCAGGCCTGCGACAGATGCCAGCTGGGTTTCTTCAGCTTCTCCATCAAGGGCTGCCGAGGTGAGGAGGCCGGGTGCTTCCCGGCTGCCCGGAGGGTGGGGTCTGAGGTTTCTGGACAGGAGCCACTGGACGCCAGCCATGTGGCAAGAGAAGGGTTGATCGGCCGCAGGCCTGTCTTCTAAAAGCGGTGTAGAAATGTGGAGTGAGAGAGCGCAGGGGACCAAAAATCTAGCCCCAGGCTCCACTGCTCAGTTCCCGTGTGCTGGGGCCATCGAGTCACCTCTCTGGGCCTCAGCGTCCATATTCGCGCAGCTGGACTGCCTGGCCGTTCCTAAACATGGCTGCCTCTCAGACCCAGGGACACTGAAACAAGTCAGTCGTCACCTCTGACCTTCTGACTCAGTGTCCCGGGAAGGACCCAGGAGTGTAGTTGAGCTGGCCCTGGGGGGTCTGGAGCATCCAGGTGTGAGGATGCAGGGGCCCTGGGGGTTCCGATTGGGGGGGGGATGCCATCTGCCCCGGTTCCCTCAGCCTGCAGGTGCTCCCCGTTGGGCGCCACCTCGGCCCAATGCCACAAGAACGGCACGTGCGCGTGCAAGCCCGGCTTCGTGGGTTACAAGTGTGACCGCTGTCAGGACAACTTCTTCCTCACGGCTGGCGGCACACGCTGTCAGGAGTGCCCATCCTGCTATGCCCTGGTGAAGGAGGAGGTGAGCCCGCCCTACCTCCCGTCACTTCACGCCCCCTCCCATGAGCACCAGCTCTGTGCTGGGCACCGGGAAATGCCTGCTCGCCCCCAGCTCTCAGGCCTTCTGGGGCCATTGCTCATCTTCCCCCTGTGCCCGCCCCGCCATCGGGTCAATGCCAGCCCTGCTCAGCCCTCACCTCTGCCTGTCCCTGGCTCCTGAGCGGATAGGAGAACAGTGCCTTGCACCAGCTGCCCTTCCCGAGCACCCGGGCCCACGTCTCATACTTTCTGAAGTTCGGGGGGATGAGACCATAGATGGCCCTTCGTGGGGAAGGTCAGGAGGAGGGCCATGCCCGTTCTGGGGCACAAGTAGAATTTTGAGCAGGGAGCTGGTGTGGTGCAGGGGTCAAGGAGCATGAGCTCTGGGGTTCCCCTCCCCAGCCCCATTCGTTGTCCCCATTAGCAGGTGACAGCTTTGGTAAGTTTCGGTGTCTCTCTCTGTTCCACAGTGGACACAGACCTGCAACCCCTTCCCTGAGACCGGGGAGGCCAGCCATCAGAGTGATGGTACTCTAAAAACATACAGTGATGGGCACTGAGCAAAGCTTCCCCCGAGCAGTGCCTGGGCCAGTCCCTGCAGTCAAACCCAGTGATGTGTCTGTGGGAAAACAGGCGAATAGTCACACCAAACAAATAAATAAGGGCCACAAACAGCCTCATCCAAAACAGTTTTGCTTCCCAATGAGTTTAGAATTTTTTTTTTAACCTGGATTTTGCCATCAAATAAGGACTGGAAAGCCTCGTGGTCTTTCAGAGCATTCTGGACTTCTGGAATCAAAGAGAGGGCCCGGGACCTGCATCCCCTGGCCCTTAGGGTGGTTACAGGGTGAACACAAGCAGGTGCGTGGCCAGTGGGCACTAATGGCTGGCTCCTAGCACGTGCTCTGTAAATGCAGTTATTGTTCATGTGATTAAAAGAACAGCGCTAGGAGACATTGCATGGCGTGCTCACTCAGCCAACAGGTATCCAGGTGTACCTGCTTTGTGGCAATATAGCAGGACAGACAGATTCTCCTGGGGATTACTTTCTTGTCCCTCTCTAAGTGGAACAGAGATGTGGTTGGCTGAATGGCAGCAGGGGCCATGGGTGTGAGAAGGAAAGGGACCGGTAGGAGGGAGGGGTGGGCAAGGCTGGTTCTCCAAGGTCTGCTGCGTCCTCAGCTTTGGCGCCCAGGATGAGATGGGAGAAGGGAACCGTTCGGGAGGGAAGGCCAGGCAGAAGCCAGGGGGAGGTGTCCAGACCAGACTTCCAGGCCACCAGCCTCACACACCCTTCTTTTCCTGACTCCTCCAGGCTGCCAAGCTGAAGGCCAGGCTGACCCTGATGGAGGGGTGGCTGCAGGGGTCTGACTGTGGCCGGCCCTGGGAACCACTGCACATTCTGCAGGGAGAGGCCCCACGGGGGGATGTCTACCAGGGCCACCACCTGCTGCAAGGTAGAGTGAGAGAGCAGAGTGGGAGACAACGGGATGTCTGGCCGGTCAGACACACCCCTGGGAGCCCTTCAGTCTGCTCTCAGGATACTTCGAAGGCTCTTGGCTTGGTCCTAGAAGTCACTTTCTGGGAGAGCCTGTCTGACCTCCACAACTACGTGGGCTCTTCCCATGACAGTCTCATCTCCCCCTGGATCTTTCCTTCAATTTCCCCCACCCAGTTGTACTTTGTAACCTTATTAATATTAGTCTCTGACGATAGCATCTAGCCCCATGCCCCACCCAGACCACAAGCTCAGTCGGGACGGGTTGAGTTCATTCAGTGATTCATACAGGCAACAAATAATCATTGCGGTGCTGTCCCAGGTGCTGAACAGGTAACATTTCTGCTGTCTTGACTGTTGGCCATTTTGTTCGCTCCCCAGCACAGAAAATAAACGACTGAATGAGGGGGGAAGCTGTTATTAGAGCCAGGTGGAATCTGGCCTTGGGACACTGCAATTTAGGGAAACTTGAAAGTGAATTGATTCTTCTGTATAATTTCATGTTCATAAGCACCTATGCTCATTTAGCAGCCAGACGTAGGTAAGCTGAGCTCCTGTTAGCAACACTCATTATCAGAATAGGGAGCTTCCAGATGCTCTGTGTTAAGAACCCCATAGTAGGGGGCGCCTGGGTGGCTCAGTTGGTTAAGCGACTGCCTTCGGCTCAGGTCATGATCCTGGAGTTCCGGGATCGAGTCCCACATCTGGCTCCCTGCTCAGCGGGGAGTCTGCTTCTCCCTCTGACCCTCCCCCCTCTCGTGCTCTCTCTCTCTCTCTCTCTCATTCTCTCTCTCAAATAAATAAATAAATAAAATCTTAAAAAAAAAAAAAAAAGCCCATACTGAGCCACACTGCAGATCGCAGAGCTGACTCGAGGCGGGGGCGTTTCTGTGGTCTGAGACTCGGGAATTGCTTATTGTGGCTCTAGCAGGTCTGGATTCCTTCTAGCTGCTTGACTGTAGCTGACTTCTGGTGTGGGAGGCCTTGGGCTGTGATTGGCCTCTTCTGGGCCTCAGCATTTGCCTCTGTAAAATGGTGAGGCTTTTCCCTTGGAACTGACTGGTGGTGGTGCTTAGCTCTGGTGATGGAGTTCAGCTGTGCCCAGGCAGAGTTCAGGGCACAGATGGGGGGCCCCCGAGGGCGGGCGCTTTATTGTGAAATCTCAGTTGCTCTGTGACCCCTGGATTTTGTGGGCTTCATGCAGGAGCCCGGGAGGCCTTCCTGGAGGAGGTGACAGGCCTCGAGGATGGGGTGAAGGCTTCCCGGGAGCAGCTGCGGGCACTGAGCAGGAGTTTCCACTGTGCCCAGGCCCAGGCAGAGAAGACCTGCATCCAGCTGGCAGAGCTCGATGCAGCGCTGGAGTCCTCGGAAGAAGAGATTCTGCAGGCAGCCATGGTCCTCAAATCTCTGGTACCCCAGGGGCCCCTCCCCGCCACCTGCCCTGGGCTCACCTGGCGATCTATCTGGTGGCCTGGGGTGTGCTTCTTTGGAGAGGCTCAGTTTCCTCACCTGCAGAATGGGGGTCACACAGTGCCCCTTGTGCTGACTCAGTGGGATCATGTCTACATAGAACAAGGCATGTTCCATGTGGACAGTGAATGCCCATCAAATGAGCGGTGGGTGTCATTTCTGTCATTTCTGTCATTTCCACGTTCCGGGGCTCTGCTCACCGGGTGCTGACTTTGAGGCTTTATATAGCATTTATAAAATAACTGGCACGGTCTGGTTCTCCCAGTAATTTAACCAAATGAGGCCCTTGCCCTTCGGGGATGGCCATCAGTTTCTCCTCTCTCCCTCTCTTCTCCAAAGGTGATTCCTCAGGAAGGGCCCGGCCAGCCCACCACCTGGAGCCACCTGGCCACAGAGGCCCGTGCCCTCGCCAGGAGGTGAGACCCAAAGCCCTGGGAGCCTGGTCCAGAAGGGAGCCCAGCCCTTTTCCAAGGGGGTTCTGGGGTTAGGATCAGCCTCATAGGTGTCCCCCTGCCTGGATTCAGACCCAGGATGTCCTGACCACTCTCTTCTGTGATGGCTTTATTAGGGTGACCATATCATCATTGTCCGAACTGAGACTATGTGTGATAAAAGACCTGATGGGTCATTATGCCAGGACAACAGCCATAAACTCTATGTAACAGGAATATCCTCACTGTGTATCAGGTGGAGAGAGGAGAGGAGCCTGGCCCTCAGGACTAGACTCTGTTTGGGTTGGTGGGAGGCCCATGTGGTGGGAGGTGTGGGTTCGGGCATAGGCCCCCTTCTGTATGAGCTGTTGGTGATGGTCAGGTGGGCTTTTCCATACAGCCACAGGGACACCACTGCCAAGATTGAGGCCACTGCTCGGAGGGCCCTGGTCGCCTCCAACACCAGTTTTGTGCTTCTCTGGAGTCTGGTGGAGGGCAGAGTGGCCTTGCAGGCCCAGCGGGAACTGGAGGACAGGTGAGGCCCCCCGGGTGTGGGTAGAAGCTTGAATTGGCCTCCTGCAGCTGACAGGGCCTGGTGGGAGGCTGCTGGTTCCAGAACTGGCTTCCTTCCCAAGTCCTGACGTTCTTTGTGTGGGGGTGGGAAGGATATCTGAGGTCTTGGGCCCACTTTGCCTGGGGGTACAGCTCAGCCTCTGGAGAGAAGGGACGAGGGCCTGAACCAGGAGGGTCCAGAGCAGTATCTCCCTCTCTCACCCCTGCCGCATCCCCCAGCCCCATCCCAGGCGGCACCCCCACCCCCACCCCCGGTCCCCAGGCAGCTCCTCTCAGGCACCAGCTTCCAGCTTGGCCTCTGCTTCCCTGGATGACCCTCTTCTCTCCTCCATAGTCAAAGGGTCAGGAGAGACCCAGCAAGTTCTCAAAAGTCCCAAGTTGACTTCCTAGATGAGAGAATCTAATTGGCCCACCTCCAGTCAGGTGGCCTGCCTCCAGCCAACTAGCATGAGTGGGGTGAGGTCACATGATCCGCTCCTGGGGCAGGGGTGGGGGCAGGGGCTCTCTGAGAAGTGGGGAGGGGTGAGAGACAGCCAGAGGTCCGTGCCCCTGGTGGAGATGGGCTGGGAGGGTGTGATCAGCTGGACGGGACAGGGAACTGTTCTCGGGGGTTGACTACAGCCCCTTGGAGCTAAAGGGGCCTCAGAGCAATCACGCAGCCCAGGGCTCTCCATTTATCTGGAGAGCGGCATGCCCAAGGTCACCTGAGGGCATAGCTAAGACCAGGGCCTGGGCTTTCGTCCCTTCCCCAGCACCAGGCACTTTCCACTTAGTGACTCAGCCAGAGGCTCCCAACATTTGCAAAACAGATGACTCTGGGGTGGAAACCAAGGGCAAACCTTCAGAAAAAAGTGCTTGAATCGTATGAATGAAGAAACAAGAATGTGGTGTGCCTCCACTGCCTCATCCATTCATGTGAACGCGGCCACGTAGCGGCCAGTTTCCGAGGCCAGCTGCTGGGTGTGGACCCTGAAGAGGGCTCCAGCGCGGGGCTGTGGGGAGGGGGTCAGCCGCAGGGAAGGATCACCCTGTGCCCTCTGCCCTGCGAGCCACCTCTGCTGTCTCCTCTCAGGTACCAGGAGGTCCAGGCGGCCCGGAAGGCACTGGGCACAGCTGTGGCAGAGGCGCAGCCCAAGGCCAAGAGGGTGCTGGCCTCCGTGCGGCGAGTCGGTGCAGACGCAGCCCCGCGCCTGGCCTTGCTGGCCGCCCCTGCAGCACCGGTCAGCCCGGCCCCGGAGCTCGGCATGGGGTCGGGGTGGGAGAATGCAGCAGCTGGGAAACCCGTGCGGCCCGGGCTCTGGCAGATCATGGGGCTTATTTTTAACTAGATGGCGGTCGATTAAAACAAGATAATCCACCTCTGTGGCTTGGCGGAGCGCCCGCCTGGCACAGAGTTAGCGCTCGGCCAGTTTTCGTTGTTGGTTATGATGATCTAGCGAAGCCACGTGGTTCACCGTAGAGGTATTAGCAAAGGCACCAGACAGGCGTGGGATCAAACCCCCAGCTCCCCGCTCCAGATCGGTGACCTTGGCCAAAGACTTTCCCCCCCTTGTGCTGCAGTTAGGTCCTCTGTCAGATAGAACTCACCCATTAGGTTATCCTAGGGCTGCACCCACAGGGGCCGGGAGAGGATTCATGAGTAATGTGCAAGGTGGCCCTAGTGCTTGTGGGCCCCCTGGATAAATCAGCTCCGTCGCGTCTGCCCAGCAATCCTGAGATCCCAGAACTCAGAAAAACTGCACTTTAAGGAAGAGACTAAGCTTCTACAAATAGATTTGGGGCAAAACCTGACCTGCCCAAAGCTGCTTATTTGGGGTCTTTGCTTGCCCCCACCCCGGACGTGAAGAGTACTACGCAGGTGTTACCGGGCTTGACCCTGAGCGTGGCCCCAGATGCCGCTGAAGGTGCTAGATGATGAGCGGTACCTAAACAGCTCTGCTTCTCTCAAGTCAGGAAAGTACATTCGCCCCCAAGATTTCCGCTGAGATTGTGGACCTGGGGAAGGAAATGCAGGTCAGGGAGGTCTCACTTCTGGTCACTGGTAGAGCTGGAATAGAGACAGGTTCCCCCACCTGGCGTCCCCTGCCCTGGCCCCTCCACTTCCCGGGATCCACAGGCAGCCCTGCCCCCGCCATTCCCGCCCCGCTAGAGGATCTGCCCCTCCGACCTTCCGACCAGGCCCTGCCTGAGCCCACCATCTCCCTGCAGCCTCAGAAGTCCCAGGCTGGGGCCCTGAGCCTGAAGGTGCAGGCCCTGGAGAAGACAGTCGCATCCAGAGAGCGCAGGCTCACTGAGGCTGCCCGGACCCTCCAGGCCACCGCCCAGGCCATGCTGCACAAGACCGAGCCCCTCACGCAGGTGGGCTCCTGTCCTTTGAGGCAGGCACCTGGGGCCGGGTGGGGGGCGGGGAGGGCAAAGACTGGAAATTGTTCTTGCCATCCTCCAGTGTCTCCTGCAGCGCCCCGTGCCCAGCTTCTCTCTTCTCTCTCCAGCTACGCCGAGAGGCCAGAGCCTCCCTGACCCGGGCTTCCTCATCGGTCCAGGCTGCCACACTGACTGTCACCGGAGCCAGGACCCTGCTGGCTGACCTGGAAGGTACACACACCTTGCTGAACCCGAGGCTACTTGACACATCCATGTCCGTGACAGCCACCCAGACTCCTGCCTCAGCCAGGCCAGCTTGGCCCTGGGGACAAGAAGGGGCAGAAGTCCAGTTGTGAAGGCATGAGCCGAGCAGCCTTTTCCCAACCCCCACCCCCACCAGGACCTCTCCCGTGGCTGCTTGTCTCTCCCTCACACACCACTCACCGGTGTCTCGCCCACGAGGCTGTCAGTCATCAGACCGCACGCAGAACCAGTCGGGGCCAAGAGACTCTGATGCCCCCGGCCGTCCATCCCTGGTCTAGTCTGCTCTGATGGGGGTGTCCTGTCACCTGGTACAAATGGCTGCCATGGTTCAGGGTTCAGCTGAGGCCACAGGGAAGGAGACAGACTTCTCCTTAGAAAGGGGTATGGGTTGATGCCAGTCCAGGTCTCCTTGAGCCTTAGGAAAATAAGGCTAAGTGGTCCCATTTTATAGATGTGTAGACCAAGGAAAGGGATTGATAACTATCCCTGGGTCAGAGGTGCGCAGAATAGAAACCATCCGGTGTTAGGATTCTCCAGCTCCGCATCCCCCTCCAGAACAGGCTTCTGTGGTGTCCCCTGTGCTCCAGACAGAAGCCCCCTCACTCTTTATCTGTGGCTCTGCCCAGTGAACTGGGTAAGGTAGGAACACTGGCAGCCCCAGAGGCCCCTTGGGGTCTGAGACTGGAAGTCAGGCTCTGCAGTCCTCTCGGTTCCGGAGCTTTCCGCCCCAACTCCATCTGCTGCCGCTGAGAGATGTGGCTGCAGCCGTGGACCCGTGCCCTCTGGGGCAGAGGGTGAACTAGTTGGTGCTTCCTATTCTCTAGGTTTCTCTGCAGTTGGAAGGCCTGGCCCCTCACTGGCCAGGGGGCTTCCGATGGGGAAGGCGTGGCTGTGAGCACTTACCTCTGAGTAGCGTTTAGGAAAATGTAAACTCCGTGATACTAATGGTAGAACATTAGGACTTTAGAACATTAAATTGTAAGGGTTGCTTTTTTTTTTTTAGAGATTTTTTTTATTTATTTGAGAGAAAGAATGAGAGAGAGAGAGCACATGAGAGGAGGGAGGGTCAGAGGGAGAAGCAGACTCCCTGCTGAGCAGGGAGCCCAATGCGGGACTTGATCCCGGAACTCCAGGATCACGCCCTGAGCCGAAGGCAGTTGCTTAACCAAGTAAGGGTTGCTAAACCATCTGCTGCAACCCCCTCACCGGCCAGGGGGCTCTTCCACCCTCTGTTTCCCTACGTCCAGCGGTGTGTGCTCATTAGCCCATGAGGTATCACCTTCTCGCTGTGGGATGTACTGCGTGGAAATTTGCCTCCCTGGTGCAGTACCGTGGTCCACACAAGGACTCATCTCAAACCGCTAACCCCAAGCTCTTTTCCCCATTCCTACCCCTTTTCAGAGACACCCTCTCTCACCACCAGCTGGCCTGTGCTCAGTGGGTATTTAGGATGAAAGGAAAATGCACTGAGTGAATATGGAACAGCTTTCCCCAGGGTGTGGCCCTGGGGCCCCTAGCCCAAGACAGGCTCTGCCACGAGTTGTGTTTGTGTTCAGATAAGTTTAGGAAATGTCACTACTATAGTGCCCTCTTGAGGCCATACAGTGTGCACCTTACGATAGTAAAGGCCCTGCGAAGTCCTGCAATAAAGAAACCCGGTTCTCTTTATTTAAGCTTGATGTTTCCTCCTGATGTTTAGTGATACCCCATAGAGTTAGGACTCCACGGAGTGCATTTTAAGAAACACCAATTTTGTATACAAGAAACAAAGTAGATCTAATTTCTCGGTTATCTTCATGGAAAATTATGTGATATTCTGCCTTAGAAGGCCTGATTCATTTAAAATTTGACTATTGGGTGCCTGGGTGGCTCAGTCGGTTAAGTGACTGCCTTCGGCTCAGGTCATGATCCTGGAGTCCCGGGATTGAGTCCCACATCGGGCTCCCTGCTCATCAGGGAGTCTGCTTCTCCCTCTGACCCTTCCCCCTCTCATGTGCTCTCTCTCTCTCTCTCTCTCTCATTCTCGGTATGTCAAATAAATAAATAAATAAAATCTTAAAAAAAAATAAAATTTGACTATTGTTAGTACTCCCAATTTCCCTTAAAATTTTATCTGAAAGAAAAGGGAAAAGTCTCTCTTCTTTACAGAGGGAAGCTACTTCTTATTAGGTAATAAAACCTATGCAAATCTTAATACTTCCCTTTTTGTCTTGGTTGCTAGGAAGCTCAGAGGTAAATAGAGCATTCAGGGGCTGTAATGTCATTATCCTAATTTTCTGGTACACCCCACTCCCTCTTCCCTTCCTCATCCCCCCAGTTACATATGGCCCTTGGTTTTTCACTTTAATGGTCCAGTGGTTGACTTACCTATCACTATAAGCTGCTTCAAAGCCTTTTTAGGAATAGGGGCTACACAGAAAGAGAGCTGAATGGATCTGCTGGGTACCGTGCTGGGGCTCCCCATCCATTCCCACCCCTGGCCCAGGCATTGGCCAACCATGCAATCTCGCGATTTTAACAAATATCATAATATGAATCTTTGAATTCACTGAGCAGTACGTCTTGCTCATTATTTGTTTGAGCCTCAGAAGGTTACACGTAGATCTCCTGCCTCTCCTGTCACGTTGACTATGGGCCCGAGGCAGTGACTGCCTGCCTGGCAGGCTCCCGCCCTGCTGACACAGCCCGTGCCCCCCCCCGCCCCGGGTTTGCAGGAATGAAGCGGCAGTTTCCTCGGCCCGGGGACCAGGCCACACTGGGGAGGAAGGCAGGCATCGTCAGGAGCAGGCTCCTCACAGACTTGAGAAAGAAGACCAAGCAGGCGGAGAGAATGCTGGGAAACGCAGCGTCTGTCTCTTCCAGTGCCAAGAAGAAGGGCAGGGAAGCCGAGATGTTGGCCAAAGACAGTGCTAAGGTCAGGGCCATGGGTGTGAGAACAGTGACGTCGCTGCCTTCTGGGCCTGTGGGAGGACTGTCCTAGAAGAGCTGCCCCTTCTGTAGGTGAAACGTGGTCCCTACGGATCTGCCCCCTTCTGTGTGGACCATGCGGAACGCTCCGCACTTACGGAGGGCTCAGGGGGCCCCAGGCTCGGAGCCCTGGAGCATCATGCAAGTGACCCTGTTGATCCCTTAAGAAATAGATGTCACTGTTATCACTGGCATCACAGGTGAAGACCCCGAGGACCAGCCCGGTTTAGTGACTTAAGTCACATAAACAGGACTCTCACCTAGGTCAGCTTGGCTTTACTCTCCCAAACTTCTAGGCTCTTGTTTTTTAACTGGGGCCAAAGTCTAATCCGTGTGCGTCCCTCTAGCCCCCCGCTGGCTCTGTGCATCTAGCCAGCGTCCTGTCTGTGTTTGTGGAACGAATGAATGACCCCGGGCTCATATTGACGACTGACGATTGGCATTATGGCCATCAGTGCTCTTTACCTCTGAAAGGACTCAGTCCATTCACCCTCTTCTCCCTCCACTGCTGCCCACCCCCCAGCTTGCCAAGGCCTTGCTCAGGGAGGGCAAGCAGGAGCACCGCCGGGCAGGCCGCCTCTCCAGCCAGACGCGGGCGACATTCCGACAGGCCTCCCGGCAGGTGCTAACCTCACAAGCCCGCAGACAGAAGCTGGAGGAAGCAGAGCTGGTATGTATGCGTGCGAAGACACCCCCCCCCAACACTCCCATTTCCTCCTGGCCCCTGAGCCAGCAGGGAGCCGTTCAAGCTTTCCCTCCCATCCCAGATGGGTGCAGGGCTGAATGCCTTGGAGCGGCAGATCTGGGAATCGCGCACCTCCCTGGAGAAGGATGTCCAGGCCTTGTTGGAGCTGCTCGCCAAGCTGGGTAAGGAGACCCCTGGGTCCCTGGAGCACCCCCAGGAGCTTCTATGAGGCCCTGTCCTGGAGAAGATTTCCTCCTCGCCCCCAGCTGCCCACTGTCCCCCATCCCCAGCCACAAGCATTTGAAATAGTCCCAGGCCCCCGTACAAGGTGGGGCTGGTGTCACTGTGTGCCTCCAGGGGCCGCCAGTCTGGCAGGGGTCGGGGTAGGGGGTTGGCTGGGGGGAAACTCAGCAGACAGAACACCTGTAGGGGCCCCAGGAGCAGATGGGCCCTGAGTGGTTGAGGGTTTCAGAGAAGGAGAGGAGATGTCATAGAAGCAAAGATGGCATCAAGAATCAGGTGCTGGTTTGGAATCAGACCAAGACTCAAGTCCGGTGCTTTCCCTTCCCTGGCTGTGAGAAAACCTGGGAAAACCTGAACCTCGGTTCCCTCATCTGTAAAATGGGAGTAAACATCAGTATAATTTAGAAAGTGCTTGCCACGCCGTGTGATGAGCGTCAGTGAGCCGCGGCTCCCAGGGAGGAAGAAGAATGGAGATGAGCCTCAGCAAGGAGACGTTTCAGATGAATGGGGGAGCACCCAGCAAGGCCTGGAGGCCTCAGAGCAGGGTGGGGACACAGGAGGCATGCATTTTTAAAAATTGTGGTAAAATACTCATAACACAAAATTGGCCGTTTTAACCATCTTTAAGCACACACTTCAGTGGCATTAAGTACATTCACACTGTTGTGCAGCCGTCCCTGCCACCCATCTCCAGAACCTTCTCATCTTCTCAAACCGAAACACTGCACCCATTAGACATGAACTCCCTACTGCCCCCAGCCCCTGGCACCCCCATCTTCTCTTCAGTCTCTATGAACTTGACACTCCAGGGACCTCACGTCAGTGGACTCACACCCAGTATTTGTCCTTCTGTGACTGGCTTCTGCCACTTAGTGTCACGTCCTCAGGGTCACCTACATAACAGCATGCATGTGCCCTTATTATCAATAAGGGGAAGAATCGCCACGTTCCGCACCGTGTCTGCATGCCAGGCCCACGCTAAGTTACGCGTGCACGTGATTTCCTAGAATTCTCTGCTCTTGCCATTTTGCAGACAGGCAGTCTGAGGCACAGAGAGTTTAAACGATGTGCCCAGGGCCCCACAGCCAGTCAGTGGGGAAGTTGAGGTTCACACGCAGGTCTGACTGATTCGGGGTGCCCACTGGTAGCCGCTGGTCCGTACCCTACGCCAAAGACTCAGAGTACTGGCCGCAGTGCCCGGCACGGAGCAGGCGCTCTGCGAGGGTAACCTGCTCTGGCTGTTGTCATTTATTCGTGTGTGCCAGTGCTGTGCTTGGCTTGGGGACGCAGGCGTGAACAGCACCCCGCAGGACCCTGCCTGGGAGCCCCCGCAGGGCAGGTGGAGTGTGGCTGCAACCTGAACCTGAATCTTGAAGGCCAGGCAGTTTGGACTTCCCCGTGGAGGGAGGTCTTTGCTGGGACCGGGATCTGCCCAGGCCAGCAGGGCTCAGCTCCCCAATGCCTCTTCCTGCCACTTCCCCCCACCACCCTCAGCTCTTGCCACTACCTACCCTCCAACCCCCACCTTCGTTGCCCAGGAAATTTGGGGCTCGGGGGAGCCCTGGGCCCAGTGGGATCCTGTGGGATTAGAAGCCATTTAGAACTTACTTCCCCATCCCCACTACTCTCCCACTTGGCTGAACCTCGTCTTCCTGTTGAATGTCACCCTTAAATGACAAGGTGAGAAGGGCCAGGTGGGGGAGACAGCCCGTGGATTCCATGCCACCGCCACTGCCACCACCACCACCAAGTTCAAATGTGAGCACCGGGCCCCACCTCCTTGTTTTACGCTTGGAGAGGCTCTGGGAAGTACTGAACGCCAAACAGAGTTAACCCGTGCTGGGCCAGGACGAGACCCCGCTGCCTGCTCACCGGGGCCAGCAGCCCTTCCTGCTCCATCTGCTCTCCCAGCTCTCATTCTAACCCCAGTGGCTAGCCACGGCTCAGCACAGGAGGCGTCTGTAAATGTGTGCTCTCGGCAAATGGGCACGTATGTCGGAGCCAGCAGGAATCATGAGGACCCTGTGTGCACACACGGCTTTAGGAAATGGGCTCAGGACCCGCACAGGGCATCACTTTTTATCAATAACAGTAATACCCACAACAAAAATGAACAGTTGCCCACTGCTGCCTAGGGGGAAAGTTCCAGAGTCTTCATGTGAACCCAGTGGGGTGCCCAGACCAGGCACACTGCCTTCTCTGTCCCTTGCGTTCCTGGTGGATCACGGGCAGTCAGAATCCTGGAAGGTTTGGGCTGGCCAGGCTCTCAGGGGTGGAGGCCGAACAGGCTCTGGGGCCCGCCAGGGAGCTGGCCTGTGCTGAGGCTGTCCGTGCCCCTCTGCAGAGTCGCTGGACACCCATCAAGCCCCAGCCCAGGCCCTGAACGAGACCCAGTGGGCCCTGGAGCGCCTGAGGCTGCAGCTGAGCCCGCCGGGGGCCCTGCAGGGGAAACTGAGGCTGTTGCAGCAGGAGTCCGAGCAGCAGGAGCTGCAGATCCAGAGCTTCGAGAACGACCTCGCTGAGATCCGTGCTGACAAGCAGAACCTGGAGGCCATTCTGCATAGCCTGCCCCAGAGCTGTGCCAACTGGCAGTGAAGGCCACCCAGAACCCCCCCCCCCCGCCCTGCCGCTGTGGCCCTAGCC